TGTCACTAAACGCGGCTGGCATAGGCAGATGAACAAATAAATTATTTGTTATAAATAAATAATTTTCTGATAATTTAAAGGAAAGTGGAGGATAAGCTGTACAGAAAACACCTGATGACCTCTTCCAGCATGCTAATGTGTACAGGGGTTGGGAATCACCGATCTAGCGGGTGTGTGAGCAGTGGCGTGGTTTGGATATTAAGTAAAAAACGGATGTTTGTAGACTTGTCACACGGGTACACACCACAACACACTTATGGGTCTTTTGGGGAACTAGATACTTACATCACTCTGCAACAACACTCTTGCCTCTAAGTATTAGATTACTGTTCCCATGGTAACCAAGATGCACCCCACCTTGCGGCATCCAATCTTACGTAGATATATGTAAGGGTGAGTTAGATAATAAACAGGATTGTGGTGTTGACAAAAACAGCGAAAGGAGTCTTTCAGTTCATGGGAAGGTGTTGTTTCATATCACACACCAACAGCACGGATTCAGCATGTACCGTCGGAGAAAGACATTACATACACCTTACCATCAGAAATGACAAGTAATTCTCAAGGCAGAGAAACGGAATGCTTTGTAGGGATGTTGGACAACTTCATTCTGGGCTCCCCAAAAAAAGCATTGTTGTCACTAAAATTAAAAAACATGGCAACATTGTGAGATTTTGTCACACACTGTGAGACTTTGTCAAGGGAAATTGTTCAGCAGGATTTATCTTGAGTGACAGGGCAGGACAGAAACCCCTCCCATCCCTTTATCGAGCAGCTTTCACAAGGTTGCAGGGGAGATCTGAATGCAATTGCGTAAGTGATTTCTTCTGTCTTTTAATGTTATACGTTGAAAATTCTCAAAATAACTGGAACGTTGCGCTCTTGCTTTTTCAGGTCCTTTGAGGCTCAAGCATCACAGATCAAACATGTTAAAATAAGCACCCATTCATTAACTAACTAAAACACACAGGTGAGCATGTGTGAATGCAAAAATACTTTTTGCAAATGATATTAGTGTATATCTGCCACACATTGATCTAGAATTAAAACTGCTATGGGTTACTGCGTAGCAGTTCATTTACAGCACATTATTAAGGGGAAATGAATGAAATAAAATAACTTCCATTTTCAGCTCTTTTTCAGTCCTGTTGTCCTAAAAAAAATCTGACAAATGTCTCATGAGTGTTTCTTGTCTCACCTGTATTCATTGTATTTCTAATTTGCCCATCTCTCTATATCAAATACATGTTGAACCGATTCCATTCATTACATATGAACCATTTTCATATTTTCGCAGACTGAAGAGATTTTTTTGATTCACTATTCGCTATTTCAAAATACGAACTACAAATCTGACAGACTTTGGGTTGAAGTTGTCAAGCAGCTGAGTTTGAGCACAGCCACGCGGTCACACGCCGTAACTGCAAATGTTTTCCACTGCGCATGCTCGTGATAACACATCTGACTGGTCCATATCAATCGATCAGCGAGAGGAAGATGGCGCTGAACCAAGTCAACAGCACACGATCGAACACCGAAAAACTCGATCGGGTCCATTACTAAGATCCACTTTTCCGAGCACCAGCCGGGCCATAGGTTCGAGGACGCATCAAAGGAGCGAGCCTAAGCACGTGATTCCAGGGGTAGGTACAATACGCAGCTTGGAGGCGTTTAGGAGGAGCAGACAACAACAAGCTTTGGCGACGACGTCCGCCATCTTGTGTCCGTCGCCCGACGTCCTCGCTAGGCATGCTAAATTCATCCCTGATAACACGACCGCCCGGATTGGAGAGGCATTGTAATCGATTGATTGCGATGTTAAACGGTCATGACAAAAGTGTCCGAAAATGTTGATATTTTTCAGTCACTGTCACGGATGACGTTATTTATAGAATGGCGTCTCGAAATCACCAACAGCTAAAAATGTCGAACGGTCTACTAAGGAATTAAAGCTCAAGTCATGAATACTTAGGCGTCTGCCTATTTACCCTTTCAGACAAGTTGTAGCTTGCGCTTTGTGAGTAAATGGTTTGTTGTGAAAATATGTCTGAATAAAATTAATGAACTGAACTGAGGTGGGGTACGACCTACTCGTCACCAGACAATTTCAGTTTTCCCCTTTTTGAATTTATTATAAAATAAATAAAAAATATATTGTAATAATAATAAATAAAAACATGACCTTCCACTCATTAACTGCCCTCAGAGTCTGTCAGCCTCTGGGTCACCCAAAAAGCCTGAAAGGACAATGGAGTTCCCGTGGCACAGTGGGAAGGTTCTGGAGCAGTTCAACAACCAGCGCAAGCAGGGTTTGTTGTGTGACTGCACATTTGTCGTGGATGGAGTGGACTTCAAGGCGCACAAATGTGTGCTGGCAGCCTGCAGTGTCTACTTCCGCACCCTCTTCCTGGAACAGAAGGACGTGGTACATCTGGACATCAGCAATGCTGCAGGTTGTGAAAAGTGCCCCCCCCCCCCCCGTTTTTCGTCACAACAAATA